CTAGTTGAATATGAAAAATTCCTTGTATTAATGCCTACTTTGGTTTGGAAGATGTCACTCATTCTTTGAATTGTGCCAAAACTTGGAAATGAAATTCCAAGAAATGTGCATGATTTTGTGATGAACGATTAACAAATCAAAACATGTCCAAATGAACCCAAACCAATTTTAAATGAAAAATTGTTGTGTTTACTCCAAAAATTAATTCGATGGTAGGGCGAAATTCCTTGTTGATTGGAAATTACTCTACTTTTTCTATGGGAATGTCACTGTTGTAGTTGCAGGAATTTCCAGAATCTTACACGTTTCATTAACAACCTGTTGGATGACCGAAATGTCCCTAATGGAGCCCAAACTAGTTTTAAATGGAAGGTAAGTGAGTCTAGTTTTGAATTGATTTTGGAACCATGACCAAATTCTCTATGGACAGGGAGTTATGCCCGATTTCTAGGGAACTGTCACAACAAAGTGCCTCTTCTTTTACGAATAAATTGACTAAGTATGGTTAATGCTTACGAATTGGTGAATGCCCACGAATAATTCACTAAGTATGGTAGTAATAAGACATACTTAGGGTATGAACTGGAAAATGTTTATGAATGCTCATGAATTATTGTATAAGGCATGGTTGTAATAAGACATGTTTATGAAATGGATAATGCTTATGAACTAGTGAATGCTCGTGAATGTTTGTGAATATGATTATGAACCACTGAATCGGCATTGTTGTAATAAGACATGCTTATGTGATATGAATGTGCATGATTGTAATAAGACAAGCTTATGTGATATGAATGTGCATGGTTGTAATAAGACATGCCTATGTGATATGAATGTGCATGGTTGTAATAAGACATACCTATGTGATATGAATGTGCATGGTTGTAATAAGACATGCCTATGTGATATGAGTGTATGGTTGTAATAAGACATGACTTTAATATAATGGCTAGCTGCTGCCTATTGGGTAGGATACCTACTGTGTGAATGATGGTGTCGGCAGTTGCGATCTTTCCCTCACTCCCCATGATAGAACAGGAGTTAGGAAGTGAATGTGAATATTTGGGAGGGTCGCACCCCCCTAATCTATCTGGGCCTTACACATTGGGCCATTCAGTGGTCGTGTAACGCTCTCTCGTCAGAAGGGCATAAGGACCTCAGCCTATCAAAAGCCCCAATGCGAATTAGGGATTGTGTGTGTGTATGAAGGCATTACGAAATGGGTCATCCATTTATCATTGCCTTCCTTCCTGAGAGAGGGTAGAAGTCCTGAGTAACAAGATTGGCTTATTCGGATGGACATGCTTCTACTTCGGGAGTAACCAGTGTTAAGATTGCTTATAATTGTTTATATGTAATTGTTTATATCTTGAGTTCTTAACCTGTTATCTTGATAGAAAGTTAGCAAAAAGGAGTTTTTTAACTTCTTGGCCTATTCCTCAAAAGGTACAACTTTTTTGTCTAGCAATGACGTATCAGGGATAAAGAAGGATGCAAACTTCTTAGTACGACTATATGATCAAATAATGGAGGAGGTGGGAGATAAGCATGTAGTCCAGTTTATTGCGGACAATACGCATGCATGTGTTTCTACGGGCAGCAAGTTGATGGATAAGAGGAAGCATCTAGTATGGACCCCGTGTGTTGTACACAGCATCGATCTTATGTTAGAGGAGATCAGTGAGATCAAAATTGTGAAGGAGACTCTACAGGAAGCGAGGTTGGTATCAAGATTTATACATAACCACTCTAAAATTTTATTTTTGTTTAGAGAACAGTCTAAGAAAAAAGAGATAATCAGGCCTGGCATAACCCACTTTGCAATAGATTACTTGGCTGTGGACTCCATTCGAGAATCTGAAGGTACATTAAAGAGATTGTTTATCAGTGAAGAGTGGTTAAATGACCGCCTCTCGAAGTCTAGTACGGGGCTAGAAGTAGACGGCATAGTCTCAAATAGGAGGTTCTGGTCTCGATATTCCAGTATAGTAGAGGCCACTGCCCCTTTGATCACGATGTTAATAATGGTGGATGCTGACAATAAAGCTACCATGGGCATCCTTTATGAAGATATCGAGAGGGTCAAATCAGCTATTGGGGAGAAGTGTAGTTTTGCTAGTAAAGTGATCAAGATTATAGAAAGAAGGTGGAACACCAAATTTGGACGTCCAATTCATTATGTAGGTACATATATATTTTATATCATTAGAATGTTTAATTCTCAATTATTTTTTATGGAATTTTAAATGACCTTTCTCTATCTATGTATTTTCTAGGTTACTACTTCAACCCAAAATTTTTCTATTTAACGCCTGAACATCTTCACAAGATTATGGAAGAAGTCAGATACATTATTTTCAGGCTTGAGAGAAGCGATCAAAACCAAGTAGCAACAATACAAGAGGTACTATTTAATATTTGGATAAGAACTTGATTGAGTTGTTATATTTGTGAGGAATAATGCACTAAAACGAAATATTTTGTTTTAGATTGCTATATTTAGGGATGCCATAGGATCCTTCGAAACTAGACTTGCCAGAAAATCTCGAACTAAGATGGATCCAGGTTATCCCCTAACTAATATTTTGTCATTCATATATTTAATCTTATGAATTGTTCTTGCCCTTACAATGCTTCTTGCATTTTAATCCAGATGAATGGTGGGAGATATATGGTTGTGATGTACCTCACCTAAAGAGGATAACAATCAAGGTGCTCTCATGTATATGTTCTGCTACTGGGTGTGAGCGAAACTGGAGTACATTCCAATAGTTGCATACTACTAAGAGGAATAGACTCACTTCGGAGAGGCTTCAGAAACTAGTCTATGTTCATTATAACTTAAACTTCCGAGAGCGACAAATAAGAAGGAAGTTTGAAGACTTCGGGCCGATAAACTTGGACACAATATTTGTCATAGACATAGCAGAACAATGGGTAGTAAAGGAAGAGGAGCCAGTGTTGCACAAGAGAGCATTCCTTGAGGCTATTGGTGAGGAAGATCTTGAAGAAGGTGATGAGCAGTAAGAAAGAGGAAACAACCCGCTAACATATCTACAATTTGTCGGAGATGTTGGTGATATTGCATCGAATGAAGGAGAGTGGGAAAGGGGTCTAAGGGAAAATGAGAGAGATGATGATTCTGTCGCCACCCAATCCCAGCTAAATTATTCACATATCGAGTCCCAACAGCAAGAGGGTAGGGATGAGCACGACAGTGTAGGTGAGCATTAAGGATGGACAAGCTTTGAGGATTTTAGATTAGGATCACAACAAAACACTAACACTCAGGGATTTTGGTATAGTCAGGTGCCAACTAATTTAGATGATTCGTTTTTAGAGTGAGTCAATGAATTGTCACGCGAATTAAATCAATGGCACCAGTGTGACCAAGATGAAGAACGACATCGTTTTATTTTACTTTTTATTTTTTGGTCGTATGTTACGAATTGTATGCTTTATTGTAGTCTATGTATGATGATATACTTAATCTATGATAATTCTATGTTTATCCTTTTGTGTGATATAAACTAATTGGTAAACAGTAGTTCATGCAGGGAAATAACATATAAATATTCGTTTATTCATGCAAAGAAATTAAAATTCTTAATGGAGTACCCCCATTTTTTATTGGATTCCTAAAAACCAATATTTATAAAGAATTTTAATTTTTTTTTTAGATTTTTTTATGGCTTAATCCGATCTATTCGGCCGATTCCAGATCCGCATCGCTGATTCTTGATCCGGATTGTCAATTCACCGATCCAGATGGGTTTTTGGGGTGCCCGATCCGGGTCACCGATCCGCTTTTTAAACCACTGGTCGAATGTATAATTTCGAGGTACCCCTTCACAACTAGGTTTTATCTACAAAGATAAAAACCCAAAAAAAAACAAAATCTAAGTATATACATAGGATAATTAAAGTCCTGCATCTCAACTAACAGTGGGTGTTGGATAATGAATAATAGCTAAAATCGCACAAAAAGAAGTCAAATTTGGGATAATTTAGGCGTTGACACGGAGAGACGCGTCTGAGTGAGTGGAGACGACCACTTTCCCTAACTAAACTTTGTTATCCATCCATCAACTACGCGTCACCGAAAACAACCGGTCTCATATTTAACCCAAAACCGAAACGCCTAAGAATCTCCACGCTGTTACAGTACACCGTATATACCAACTTCCGCCTAGGCTAGAGTGGCAACGGGCCGGGACAGCCTTGCTCCTAGCCTACGCTAAGTGCCAGCCCAGGCCGGGCTAGAAAAAATAAAGGAAACAATAAAAGGATAAGGCTGGGTTGGCATTGGCCCTAGCCCGCCCGCGGGCCACAGCGCATGCCAATAGGTAGTCTCTCTTTTATTTTTTTTGACTAATATCAATAACTTTTATTGAATAACTACATGAAAAGCATCGGTTACATATCCGAAATTAAAGCATAAAAAAAAAATTGGGCAAAGATAGACAAAACTTAGCTAATCTATCACCCGAATATTGTTTTCTCGATAGACATGGGAGAATGAAGCATTCAGCAAAAGTGAAACATTGGCTTCTCTTTCAGATCGTTCATGTAAAGTTTATGCACCTGCAGCAAAAATTTCGGAACTCTATTCTATTAACCAGTCAGGGGCGATTGTAGGGTAATCTCTCCTCTAGGCCGAACCATTTTAACGCCCGGCCGCCCCACTCATTACCAACCCTGCTTCTAGGGTGGCATTGGTCAAAATGGCAGAGTGGGGAACATTAGTCCAAAAGAAATTGGGGTATTGACGACATTTACCCAAAATGCAAGGTCCCTTCCTTTTTATTCTCTCTCATGAGAAAGAGAGATATCTCTCTGTTTAGGCCGTTGGCGTAACTTACTCGGTGAAAGCGTGGCAATTGGTAATCTCTCCCCTGGCAAATGAGGCCGAGGTATCTCTCTACCAAATTTATTTAAACCCCCTGATTTTTATTCTTCCATATTTCCCATTTTTCTTTTTTATTTCTCTCTCTCTCTACTTTACAAACTTTGCAGAGAGAGAGAATGAATCTGACCAGCGTTCTTTTTCTTTCTTTGTTGTTTGCTTCAGCTTCAGCGACTCCTAGAGTCTCTGTGTCTGAGTACTATGCAAGGTTTAAGAACCGGGCTGCAATCCACCGGGCTGCAATCCACCAGCAATCCAAACTTGGAATAGATAAGGTGGTTTTCTAAAGAACAAGAAAATGTGGTCTTTTTCCTATTTAAATGTGAAAATGTGGTTTTTTCCCTATTTAAATGTTAATGTAAAGAATTTTGGATAGTGCTTCACAATCCAAACTTTAGAATAGATAAGGTGGTTTTCGAAAGAACCAGAAATGTGTTTTTTTTTCCTATTTAAATGTTAATGAAAAGATTTTTGGATAGTGCTTCACCTTGATTTTTATTTGGGTATTGATCTGTATAGAAGAAGGAGGTGATGAAGTAGAGCTAGAGTAAATGTGGTTTTTATAGATGATGATTTGGTTTTGATTTTAAAATTTGAGTATATATGGATGGGTTGATTCTACATAGAAGGAGGTGGGGTTTTTGAATGTGATGGATTGAATTTTCTTATTGATTCTGGGAATGGAGTTGTTTTAACTTTTGTTGTTCATTTAATTCTTGAATTGCAGAGTGGGGGTGGTAAGGTTTTCTATCCAGTGGAATATGGGGCCGACCCGACGGGCCAGAATGATAGTAGCGATGCGATCATGAGCGCGTTGGCAGATGCTTTCAAGGTTAAGAGCGACAATGTACTGTTACCGGGGATAAGAGATTTGGGAGGAGTGGAGATCGACTTGCAAGGAGGAAGTTTTAAGATTTCAAAGCCCATCCTCTTCCCTGCCTCTGGCGGTGGCAATGTTCTGGTAAGCAAACCAAAACCTTCTCTCCCTCTCTAGAGCTACTCCAAATTAAAGATGTGAAATAATCATCTCAAATGCTTATAAGTGAAATTACCAAAACACATTCAAATGTAGTCTAGATTAATATTAATTTTTAATCTACCTTAAGACTCATCGTTTAAATACATCTTTAAATCGTTATCATGGATGATGTATCTATTTATAAGCGCCTGCCAAGGCTGATTAGTGGTAATGAATCTACAACACTAGAGTGTGGGGGTTGACGGGCTAGGGACAAAACTTATTAATCGCCTAATCTAAACACATTAATGGACAATGGCTCCAATAAAGAGGAGCAATTTAAAACTACCACTGAAAAAGTCTCCCCTCGAAACCCATAGTATAGCTACATATTTTTTTGAAATGTTTTTTTGTTTATTTAATGACTTTCTTGATGGTTCTCTATAGTCCTTATATTGCTCTCACAAACATCTAATGGACTCGTAACATAAGTAGTCAGGCTGATATAACGTCTTGAATTTTATTTCTACATCTTGTGTTCTATTACTGTTAAATATAGGGAGCCCTTCCCGCTGATCTACCAAAAAACGGTACACGTAGAGGATAGATTCTTCAATGTTGGTGCAATATCGGAGACTCCTCAACCATTGCTTGAAAATAGGAGATCAACCCTTGGTGGGAAATATGAGAGGCCATGACATTGTGGACAGTTATATTTGGCTTAAAGAGTCAATGTACGATGTGAAGAGTAAGTGATAATTCATGACCACTGATCAGGTCTCATGCCTAACAATCTTTTGTCCACAAAGAAAACCTCCCACTTGAAAATGTAGAGAAGTGCGCCATAAAAAAAGGTGAGAAGTAGAAACCTTTTCCATCAGTATTGCCAACCCTCGTTAATAAAAGGAGTGCATGAGAACCTCTTTCATCTTCCACACTGCTCTTTTCCCTACTATTATTATAATAAATAAAGGCAAAAGTCGGCCTAAGTTATGGATATTTTGAGCCTTGGGTTGGATGCCCTACCAACCCACTCAGTACTAATTACCAATAATGGTATTTATTCCCCTCTTTCATTTCCTTTTTTATGTTTTCTTTAAATTGTTCTACTATTTAAAATGTAAAAAGGAAGATTTTGCGGTCCCAATTGCAGGTGTGGTGTCACACCAAGAAAAAATAAATCCTATTTATTCATCAGATGAATTTCTTAAGGTAAAAAAGAAGAAAAGAAAATGTGCTTTGGAAAGTAAATGATTTTCCAAATCAACACCCCTATAGAATTGACTCTAGGGCATCCATTGGACTTCAATGGCTCGAAATCCTTCATTTTTTGTTTTATTTTTTGAAAAGGAGATCAGTCCGGATTGCATATACTATTTACCTTTGTTATAAGGTGGTTATAATCACTCCTAGACATTAGATGGAAAATTGGTTAGCTTGGATTATGTTATGAAGTTCGACAATGTGATGGACAAAATGATTATGACCTCTTTGTACAAAAAGTAAAGAGCCTTTTTATATAGTTTTCCATATCACAAAGTGAATAAAAAATATTTCTAAAGTACAAATATTACTCAATTTAAGAGCTTACCCAACAATATATTTGGTCGTATATGCTCCCATTTCTATTATTTCTTTATTTTTCACACTTTTATAATCCAAGGCAACCATTTATTTTGGAAAACTTTGTCTGCATCATAGTTGGAGTAGTTTATTTTTATAGGTTTTGTTATCATACCCCTACATGTGGAGTATTTCGTTAATGTACTAACATTTTTTGACACTTGATGTCCTTATTTTATAATGTAGTAACTTTTTTGCCTAGGGATATTTTAAGTAATTAGTCAAAGGGAAAGTAGAAATGCTTAACCAAAACAAAAGCATTTATTGGCCGAAAAGTATATAATGAGACCATTTACCTGTACAAAGTATATAATGAGACCATTTACCTTTACTACAAGGTGGTCACAATTAATTTTGACCATGGGATACGAAATTGGGTGGCTGCATTTATTTCATTAACCAATCTCAAATATTTATTAATTCTCTTTACTCATCCAAAATTATCACAACCTATAACTATAATATTACGTATTGAAATTGTTGGGTATATTACATTCCATTGGAATCCAAAACTATCCAATGGAATATAATATAGAGAAGGAAAGAAATATATACAATGAGATCATTTATTTTTTATATAAATAGGTGACAAAATTATCCAATGAAATATAATATAGAGAAGGGAAGAAATGTATACAATGAGATCATTTATTTTTTATATAAAGAGGTCACAATTATCGATGACCGTTAGATTTGAAATCTCGTGGTTGAGGATGTGTCATTGTTTAGACAATATGATGCTAGGAAGAAATCAGCACTATCGATTTTGGATCTCTGGATTTGTGATTCTCAAAGTGATTTTCAAAAGGAAAATTTACAGGACACAAACATGAATAAAAAAATGCCAAAAGATCCATTTTTTTCACAAAAATGATGCAAATGACCAATCCACATTTTGTTTTTTTTTTTTCATGTTTTCTCCTTGATCCAAAGTTTACAAATGTAGGACTTCTTTTTTTTTTTTTTTTTCTTTTTTTTTTTACCGTCAAATGGTAGGGTTGTGTCTTTGTTTAGGGCACTTTGGGACCTGTTTGATACCCTAATTGTTAGACCTTGAACTTCATTCATCGGCTGATTCAATATTTGTGACAACGGAGAAGTTTCAAAATATATATTTACAGGCCTAATATCTATGACATCCGACCAGTTCAATCTTTAATGCGGTCCGATAATTACGACATGATGCCCGTCCCAAAGTGCCCTAAAATTTAAGTCAACCCTACCATTGGAGAAAAACAGAATAGAGAAAAAAAGGTCCAATATTAGTAACATTAGACTGAGACGCAAATGTAAAAAAATAATAAAAGCATGGGTGACCCAAATCCTTTGTATAATTTTTACAAAAATAAATGGATCTTTTGTTAGTTTACTGTCCCTTTTGTGTCTGAATTGGTTGCTTATGATTTGAACGTGTGAATAAGAGGCACTTAGATATGACCAATATAACGTCGTCCACTGCTGACATTTATTAGCTTTGAATTGTTTTGTTTACTATATGTTTATTGAAAAAGTATATAATGAGAGCAATTAACTTTAGTACAAGGTGATCGCAATTAATCCAATGATAACTTTAGTATAAGCTGATTACAATTAATCATGATCATTGGATGTGAAATTGTGTGGGTGTATTTATTTCATTGACTAAACTTAAAGTTCAAAATAATTTTTTTCAAACTTTGTGACACGCTCAATCAGATTTCACATTGGATGGTTGTAAATAGTTGTGACCTCCCTATAACAATAGGAAATGGTTTCCTTGTATACAATCCCATGTTTATTTTATTGTATTCTTTTGAGTTTTGACATGTAAAAACTTGTGAGCGATACAGATTCATGGTGGCTCACTCAGAGCATCAGACGATTTCCCTACTGATCGTCGCCTGATCGAGTTGTGGTCTCCATCCTCTGTTAAAAAACCCTCAAACCCTTTTGCCCAAATCATGGCACAGCAGGCACAGGGCACGTTTTACGAGGATGTGACAATGCGTGACATCATGTTCGATGCCAACTTCCGTGGTGGAGGGATCTTGGTTATCGACTCGGTCCGGACGCGAATAGACAACGTCTTCATTGCCCACTTTATGACAGATGGCATCCTTGTAGAGGGCGGCCATGAGACCTTCATCACTGACTCCTTTGTGGGGCAGCACATTACTGCGGGTGGTGACCCTGGGGAGCGCAATTTCTCTGGTACCGCAATCAACCTCGCTAGCAATGACAACATTGTTACAGATGTTGCAGTCTTCTCTGCGGCCATAGGTGTCCTTCTTCGGGGCCCTGCAAATATCCTCACAGGGGTACATTGTTATAACAAAGCAACCGGATTTGGAGGAGTTGGCATATATGTCAAGCTTGCAGGACTGGCTCAGACACGTATCTCGAACTCGTACATGGATTGGACCGGTATTATAGCTGAGGACCCGGTGCAATTTCATGTAACTAATGGTTTCTTCTTAGGGGATGGAAATATCGTCCTAAAATCGGTGAGTGGAAAGATGCATGGAGTGAACATTGTGGACAACATGTTTGCTGGGAATGGCCAGGGGGTGCCAATCGTGAAACTTGATGAGACGGTAACAAAATTTACAGAGGTGGACCAGGTGGTGGTCGACCGCAACAATGTGATTAAGATGTCCCTCATATCGACTGTGGGTCAGATGGTGGTGTCTGGTGTTGGGAAGAAGTGGGTCGCTGATTTCTCACCTTTGTTGCTATTTCCTGGAAGGATCAATCACGTCCAGTACTCGTTCTACACAAAGGCCAGAGCATCAGGATTGAAGAGGTTTACTGCAAATGCAATCACAAGCGTGTCGGGAAATACGGTGGTTGTCGAGTCAAAGCAAGCAGTCGATGCAGTGGTGTCTGTGAGTGTTGATCAGAATGCTAACCCAGGGGAGACGAGCTTGTATGTCTAAATGAAGACACAAAGTTCATTGATCCATGCACATGTATGAAAGATGATATATGCCTTCCACCTCGATATATATTCATTAAGTTGTCTTTCTTGCTCCTGAGGCGATTTTTAAGTTTCTTTCTTACTCTTGAACTTATACGCTAGTTAAATGATTTATCAAGTCTCGATTTTGTTCTTCCTACAGTTTCACATACTACTCGCGCGGGCAATAAAGCTTGCAAAAATAAGAAACATAATTGAAATAACAGAAATAAGGTTTTTGATGAGTTAATTACATATGCACTTTATAGGGAAAATACAGTATGCTCATGTTATATGCGAATATGATATTCAAGTTCAGCTAGCACAACGTTTTTTTTTTTTAATGAAATTACTTTTAGGTCCTCATGATAGTTTTCCTTTTTGTGTTTTTTATTCAATAGAAGCGGCTTGCAGTTAGAATTCTCGGACTGATCATTCTCTATTCTTTTGAAAGGATTTTTTTTAAAAAAAAACAGCGGTATGAGGTCCCCATCCTTGGATTGCTTCTTATTGTTTAAATAAAAAAAACGGCCAGAGATTAGAATCCTCATATCAATTGTTTTCTTTTTTAAAAAACAGTGGGCCGAGGTCCCCATCCTTTTACCGCTCCTTATTATTTGAAAAAGATAGCGATCCGAAAATGCAAACCTCCTCAAACCGCTTGTTATCATTTGAAAAAGAACAACAGTTCGAGAATGTTAACTAACCTCAGACCGCTCCTTCTGTTCCCAATTTCTCTTCTCACTTTAAATGAAATGGGGCACACTCTTTCGGCCCCTTCAAAAGGAAATATAAGTTTGCCTTAAATTTGAAGCCCCCAATTCATAATTGCAGTAACTCAAAGCTCGTATTGGCTGTTACTGTTGGAATTCTTGCAAACTACACAAGAATAAAAAGAGGAATGACATGTTATAAATAATACTTTAGATAGAATACACAATTTGGAAAGTTAATTGGGGAGAGGAGGAGCAGTCTGAGGTTAAGATTCTCGGTCCGCTATTTTTTTTTCAAATGATAACAAGTGGTCCGAGGTTCTCATTTTCAGTTCACTATTTTTTTCAAAACCAGTCCGCAGTCCGAGGATGTGGACCTCAGAATGTTATTTTTTCTGAAAAGAAAGGGAATGATCGGTTCAAAGATTCTAACCTCCGACCGTCCCTACTAAATAAAAAACAAAAAAACAAATTAAAATGCGGTCCGAAAAAGACATCCCCAGACCAAAGGGGTAATTTCATAAAAACAAATTATGTTTACCGACCTTGGATGTAATATTCGCATATAGAAAGAGCATACCCTATTTTTCTTACTTATATAGGGTTCGTATGTAATAAACTCTTTTGCATAAAACTGGGAGGAAAAACAAAATAACGCATATTATACTTCTAAGTATTATGGAATAAGGTGAACAACATCTTATCGCAATATTCATATTATAATTCTCATTATTATGGAATAAGGAGAACAAAATCTTATCGTGATTTTCATATTATACTTCTTATTATTATGGAATAAGGTGAACAAAATCGTATCACAATTTTTAGTTCTTACCGATAGAAATCAATGGGATTCATGAACATGTTTCTGTTGCCTACTTAACATAAACAATATTATTTATGTTGCCATTATTTCATCTTTTCATCTATAGATTTTGCAGCTTTACCCTGTACAAGTAGGGCATCCATTTAATTGGCCTGTAGGCCTTTTCATTTTCTTGATCTAATCCCGCATTAGGAAGTTCTCAGATTGCATTCCTTAGCAGTGAGCGTTAGTTTCAAGGGAAAATCATAGGTATCTCCAAAATCAACTTTATAGATATCTTAGCTCCAATATTTTTAGTATCACACCTGAGATATAATTTTTTTTTGTATGTACTCACTAGTTATTTGTAGTCACACACCCGAGATATAAATTTTTTTTGTATTTACTCACTAGTTATTTGTAGTCACATATTATTATTGCAAGACTTTCTCTCTACCTACGGTCTCTATTACTTTACCGCCATCTCTCTTTCCCAACCTACCTGCCATCTCTCTCCATCTGCCTTCTCTCTTTGTACTCGTCCTGTCTCTCTACTCGCCTCCTCTCTCTCTTTCTCTCTCTACCTACCCTCTTTTTTTCTCTCTCTACCTTTGGACTCTGAAATATTTGACTGTTGCAAAATAGGTGCATGGGTGCTGTAAAGAAATAAAAACTGTTGATTTCACCTTTGCGCACTACTAACCCTCGATCATATTGATCCATCGATAACTCAAAAAAATGAAAAAACACGGAAAGA